CCACCTGTCTGCCCAGTCCCCTCTGCTCAAGGCAGGGGTTGCTCAGTGGCTCAGGATCTGGAGTCTACAGGAGGCTGGCTGCCAGGGGATCACACCAGGACTCGGCCAGGAATCGAAGGTGTGCACGGCCTAATTGGCCATCCCAAAGCCATTTTCTGTAGGAATGCAGCCCTGAACTGCAGGCTTTTGCGTGGGGTCTGAAAGGCCTTCCACCCTCTTCCTGGGATTAGACCCTGGCCCCTCTCCTCTTAGCCCCCTGATGGGACCCCTTACCTTGGACACAACACCTGGGGCTCATGCCTGAATATGAGCACTGTCCATGGTATGTGTCCCTACTGTCCCCACATAGCTCATACCGGGCCCAAGCAAACTCTCCCAAAAGAACCTCTGCATCAAGACTAAAATCTATAAACCGCTTTTTGATGAAAGACTTTAAACTTGGGTTTACGCTACTCCCTTTCCCACTGGCACTAATAGTGAGGAGATATCAGCACTAGAAGCTGAGCTGCCCAAGGGACTGCTATCAGGCGATACAAGGTCTTATTCTCCCGTCTGATTTCCACGATGAGAGGTTAAGTGAGGACCTAGGGATCAGGCTGGAAATTTACCCTTCTCTGTCCTCACTCCAGGCCATCTGCCCCTCATTTCCACTCAATTCTGCCCTCAGTACCTGTAATTGCGACATTTCCAGATTCCAACTGTGATCAAGACAAGGAAGACAAGGGAAAAAAAGCTGATGAGCGCGGTGGTCGTGGCCTTAGTTGGGATTGTGGCTGGGACCGTGGTTGGTGGAGCTGCAATGGAAACACAAGTGTGAAAGCTCTTGTCCAGACCTCAAATCTGAGGAGACGCCTCCTCAGCACTTGCTGCCCCAGGTAATCCTGCCATGCAGATGTTTTCTGCCCCTCCACATGTGGCCGCCACCATGACAGATTCAAGGCTTGGAAGGAAGAGAGGAGATGGGGCCTGTACCCCTGGTGTTCATACAGCTAATGGGGGAAGTTAGAATATGATGAGTCACTGCCGCTGTGACAGAAGAGGAGGTGACACATGAGATAGGAGGTAGAGAAGCCCTCTCAGGAGCTGACAGTAGAGGTGGTATTGAAGGATGTCCAGAAATAGACCAGATGAAAAAGAAAAGTGATTCTAAGAAAAGAGAATAGTACAAAGAAAAGGTCTAGAAACAGAATGATGCCCTCATGTTTGGGGCCAGTAAGAAATCCACGGTGAGTGGTCCAAAGTCACGTGCAGTAAGGAAGAGATGTCAGGAAGTGAGGAGAGAAAGGAAGGATGGTAGGACATACCTATGGCTATTGTTCTCCCAAGAAGAACTCAACATGGATGAATCACTTTTTCTAACACACACACACACACACACACACACACACACACACACACACACGCACACACGCAAACAGGTAGTTCAGTCTCATCTCAGGGGAACTACTATGTCATCCTTCTTTGCTCTCTTACCTGGTGGCTGCGGCTTTTTATTCCAGTACTTGAAGAATGTACCATTCCATCCTTTGAACTCTCCCACTGGGAAACTCTTCAAGAACATTGTCAAGTTCTCGTCATCCTCCCACTTCTCTTTCATCTGTTTGCCTCCAGAATGATCCACTCTATANTCACCTCTGCTCAAAGCAGGGGCCCCTCAGTGGCTCAGGATCTGGAGTCTGCAGGAGGCTGGCAGAGGGGATTGCACCAGGGCTCAGCCAGGAATCCCAGGTGTGCACAGAGAACTGCCTCCCTTCTAACCTCGTCCTGCACAGTCCCTACTGTTTGCCATCTTCCTTAATGGCCATCTCAAAGCCACTTTCTGTGGGGACGCAGCCCTGAACTCTACCCATTTGAGTTGAGTCTACAAGTCCTTCTACTCCTTTACCTGGGATGAGACCCTGTCCCCTCTCCTCTTAGGATCCTGGATGAGCCCCTTTACCCTGGGCACATTCCATGGAGCCACCATGCTGCTCTCATTTGAAGGTGATGGCTGCCCATGCTGTGTGTCCCTGCTGTCCCCACACAGCCCATACTGGGCCCAGACTCTCCCAAACAGAGAATCTGAGTCAGGACTGAAATGGCTAAAGACCTTAATCCTTAGTGTGGGCCCCCTCCCATTCCATTGGCACTAACGGTGAGGAGATATCAGAACTCAGGGCTGAGCTGCCCAAGTGATTCCTATCAGGCCCTATGAGGTCTTATTCTCCTGTCTCATTTCCATGATGAGAAGTTCAGTGAGGGGGCAGGGGTCGGGCTGAGAATTCACCCTCCCCCATCCTCACTCCAGGCCATCTGTCCGTCATTCCCACTCAGTTCAGCCCTCAGTACCTGTTACTATTAAAGACTCAGCTAGGATGCCAATTTTGATTGAGCAGGTGAGGAAGAGAGGGAGGATCCAGGCAGTGGGCGTGATGGTCGAGGCCTTGGATTGTGCTGTGGCTGTGAAATTGGTTGGTGGGGCTCTGTTTGGGACCGTTGTTGTTGGGGCTGCAAAGAAACACAAGCATGACAGTCTTTGTCCAGACACCAAAGTGGGGAGACACCTCCTCAGCTCCTGCTGCCTCAGGTAATCCTACAAGCAGACAGTTTCTAACCTTCTAAATGGCAGCTGCTATGAAAGAACCTGAGGTAGGAAGAGAGGAAGGGATGTACCCTGTCCTACAGGGGCTCCTACAGCTGATGGGGAACAAGGGTAACAACATGACCTGTCACTGCTGCTGTGACAGAAGAGGAGGTGACATGTGAGGAAGGAAGTAGAGAAGCCCTCTCAGGAGCTGACAGTTGAGGTGGAATTGAAGGATTTCCAGAAATAGATCACGTGAGACAAAAAAGAAAAGTGATGCTAAGAAGAGAGAACAGTACAAGACAAAGTTCTGGAAACAGAATGATGCCCTCATGTTTGGGGTCAGCAAGAAATCCACCGTGAATGACGAAAGATATGTGAAATGAGGAAGAGATGTCACGAGGTGGAAGGGAAAGGAAGGATGGCAGAACACACCTTTCACCCTTATTCTCCCAGAAAGAACTCACTGAGAATGGATCACTGTTTCAAACCATACACATACACACTCAACACACTCACACAAGGGTAGATCGATCTCATCTCAAGAGAACTACCACTTCATCCCTGCCTTCTCTGTTACCTGCTGTGTCTACCAGTTTCTTCCAGGGCACCAAGAATTGAAGCCATTTCCCGCAGTCTCCCATCGAGATCATTGTGAAGGATCTGGTTAACTCCTTGTCATGCTCCCACTTCTCTTTTATCTGTTTGGCTCCAGGGTGATCCACTGTATACTTTCCGTTCTCCGAGTCAAAGAGAAGGAATCTCTGTCCATGAGAGCGGAACTCCCAGGATGCACTGGCACGTCCATTGGCTTTACATTGACACATCATCTTGACCTGCAGGGTGAGAAGAACTACCCCACAGCCCCATGGAAAAGAGGTCAGCCTCTGGTCTTGACAGGTCCTTTGCCCCCACCTCGTGTCTACCTCCTTTAGACTCTTCTAATGTGGACCTGGTCTCCCTGACTTTTCTGCTAGGTTACTTGGGAAGGACCAACACCCACTTTTCTCTTGCACATGAACACAACCCATGCAGCCAACCCCACAATCTGCCCTCTCCTGCATTTGGACATTTCTAACTTACCACTGTCTGCGTATTTCTCCACTTTAATGTCAAGCAGTTGCTGTTTGAGCAAGTCCCCCACGTGACACAGTGCATCAGTCTGTTCTTTCCAGACACTTGTGGCATTTACCTCCTCTCTCAGGAGATTCATACATATAACCTTATTGCTGCCACAGTCATAAAAAAGAAAATTCTTTTCATCCACCTGGCCTTGAACCTTACACCATGACTGTCCATTAGCAGCGATGCTGAAATCATAGTGAAGAGAGTGAGCATCTGTGAAGGAAAACAGAGGTGAGGGTTGGGGTTGGAAGAAAGGACCCATGCCATCCCCTCCATGATCTCTATGTCAGCAAGAGACCCCTCCTGATGGCAGGGCAGGCAGAGTAAGGACTGTCCCTAACCAGCCCCTCCCTTCACCAATTGAAGGCTAGTGCCCACTCCTTGCTTCAGGAGAACCAGGAGGTTCTCTCTGGCAAGAAACCATACATCCCCAGATATGTCCCTCTGTCCACCAGGCCAATACCCAGCATTAGTCAGCCCATAACCACTGTAGGGACTTGCCAGGTGGCTGTGGAGAAGGTCCAGAAGCCAGAGGATTGTAAAAAATGAGCCTAGTGTCCTGCAGGGAGATGCAGAGCATGTAGGGGGCTCCTCCTGGGGAAGCTGTATAATGCAGGGGGGTGGGCAGTGAGGACATGGATAGATCCCCAAGTTGGAGAAGGCAGCGTTGACAATCATGGGTCACGGGATTTGGCACGGCCCTGGGACGTGATGCTAACCTGCTACTAGGATGGGTCTTGCAAGCTTGGAAAAAAGCATGGCTACACTTCATAAAATACAAAAGGCAGAACTTTGAGGAAGTAGGAAAGGAAGGGACCAAATGGCTCAGAGAAGTAAATATGCCTATAATATGAACAGGCGGAAAAGTGTCCAGTCAACCATGCTCCATGGGAAAGCCTGAAGATAAACACTTGTTTATCAAGCCTATGAGCAAAGCATGGGTGAGAAGAGCACCAGAGCTCTCAAAAGGCACAATGATGACCTTTGCTGAAGGTCAGGATGGTGGTAGGAGTCAGTGTCCCCTAAACTGTCTTCTAGTACTAATGGGGATGGAAAATGTCAAAATAATGGATGTCAGGTGGAAATGTTGTATGTCAGGAGCAAAGTACATATGATGATCAAAATGATTAGGAAGGTCAGAAATCCAGCCAGGGCCTCAACCACAGGCAGCTATAACTATGGCTCATAGACCAGGGTGATCATTGAGGCAAAAGGGATGGACACCAACCTGGACTACCTGCTTGAGATAAGTGATAAAACCAAAGACAAACACAAGGTAAATGATTAGGAGGCTAAAGCATCCTCCCAACAAAAGACTGGATCCTTTGCCCAGTTTCCAGAACTGCGTCACTTCTCAGACCTGAAACCCATTACTACAAGGAGACACCAGGTTCCAGTGAGGAGGGACCCTCCAAGATGACAGCAAGTGCAGTGATTCCTTCTGGCCTTCCCCAAAGAGCCACGTGGCCATTGACTCGGGTAAGTGTACATGGGGAAGCCGAAACCAGCCAGTTGTTCATACGGGACCTAGTGTGTGAGTTGTCATCAACCTGGGGATCAGAAGCATCATCCTGAACCCCCTTTTCTTGAAGGGGTGCTGGAAGTGGGCTAGGTAATAAAAAGACACCTGTCCCAGGTCCCGCTCACAGAGATATTAGTGGTCCATAGATCCACACAGTGGTCATCTTTTTTTTTTTTTTTAAAGATTTTTTTTTAAATTGGGGAATTGGGGGGATGGGAACGGTGCTGGGGAATTGGGGAAAGGGGAACAGACAAGTTGCTGTCGTTTTGTTCTTCAATCTAGTTGTGGAGNCACGTTTCTTGGTCTTCAACACACAGAGTAGGCTCCCTGAAAGATAATTCCCTAGGGGGCGGGGGCACCCATATCTGGGACACCTTGTATACCCTAAATCTGGGGTCAGCACACCAGGACAGTGGCCAAATCTAGTTCCCATTCTTTTGCATGTTGTCTTTGGCTGGTTTTGCATCACAAACATGGAGGTGTGTAGTGCATGCAGAGACAGATACTATGAGGTCTGTAAGACAAAGAAATCTACAATTTACCCTTTATAGAAAAAGTTTGCCAACTCCTGTCTAAATCTATAACCTTTACATAGTGATGTCTCTCCAGGATGTGGAAAATATGGTTGGGACCAAAGAGTAGACTCAGAGTGCCCCAATTTACCGTCATTCCCTGGGTCATATTTTGGGAAACTGTGCTTCCTGTCCCTCGTACTCTGGGTTCTGTGGGGCAGGTTTGGAGGCTTTTACTGGGTGTGTCCTCAGGGCAGGAGGATAAGGTGCCACTTGGTGAAGGAAGAGGTTAGGGCCACTGAGATATGTGAAATTGCTGCAGACACGGAGTTCATGGAAAGAGGGTGAAATGGACAGTGAAAGAGTTTGCTGAGCTGGATGGAGGAGCAGTGACGCAGGAGGGGAAGTGAAGGCTTTGTGGTTAGCGCTAGGGCCGCAGCAGTGGTGAATCACCTGACAGAGCGCGCTGGGAATTTCAAGGGCAGAGCGCAGTGGGCATGATGGAGTTTGTGTGGCAAATCTGGGTGAGCAGAGCTGGGGGCATGTAGTTATTTGGGTCGTGATCATGCGGAAATGCCCCTGTCCTGACTCCCGGGATCCCGGGGCTGAGGCTCCCACCTTCCCAGAAGTGCACGATATGGACAGTTGGTTCTCTCGCAGAATTTCCCGCCGCGCACTAGCTGCCTCCCATCCCACCTGAAAACATTCCTTTTTCGCCTGTGTGGCCTCCTTTCAGACCCCCTCTTTCCCTGTGGTGGGGACAACCGGCGCCTGCTGGGCCGCCGAGACGAAAACGAGCCCGCGGAGCGGACTGAAGCCGGGGAGCACTGCAACCCCGACTGAAGCTTCCCTAACCCGGATGGGCACCCAGTCCCCGTGCGGGTCTTAACGCCCCTCTCGCCCCGCAACGTCCATCGACGAACTCNATATTCCCCAGGTTTGTAACAGGAATAGAAAATCTTTGTAGTTAATGAATAGCTTGTGGACTGAGGGCTACCATAGTAGGGAAATTTAAGTACAATCTTCTCAAACTGTCTTCCCTTTCTGTAAATAGAGTGTTAAAACAGTATTTTATCCCAGATAAAATGACAGACATGAGTGCAAACCTTAAAAGCCTAAAGGATGCAGGGGCATGATACCTATCCTATAGCCATTTAATAACAGTGGTCTGAAGACTTTCTGTAAAAGACTAGCTATTAAATGTTTTAGGGTCCGCAGACCATAGGTCTCTGCAACTGTTCACCTCTGCTGTTGTAGCAGGAAAGAAGCCATAGATGATACGTGAATGAATGAGTATAGCTAGACCTGCCGCTAGCACCTTATGACCATGCAGAATCTATAATACTAGCGGTATCTATGGTAGCAAAAGGTGCTATGTGGACTTCATGGCATCTTAATTGGAGAATCATATCACAGACCCCATAGGGTCAGAAGCAAGATCATGCCCCTTGCGAAAGAGACATCCACACCATTGAAAGAGCCTCTTGGTAAAGTACTAGGGCCTGGTAGAGATGAAGCCTCTGGCTAAGAGGCATCAGAGTGCCGACATGAGCATCATCAGGCCACATAGGCCCAGTGGTCATGAGAAAAAAGTGATTTTTGAGGCACTGAAATGAGCAGGGTCACAGGGAACAAACACAATACAGAAGTTGGTGGCCCTGATCTTCACACCAAATATGTCGCACCAGCACAACCCTCAGGTCACACCTATGGCTTCATGCAGTGTCCAAAGGTCCCCCTGGTCTAAGGAATTCAGCCTACAGAAAGTAGGGAGGCAGTGGCCCACACCTGTGGGACCCACATCCTCTCACATTCTCTCCACCCAAAGCCACAGGCAGGACAGGGCACGTTTCTGGCTCTTCAACACAGAGGAGGCTCCCTGGGAGATGATTTCCTAGGGGGCACCCATATCTGGGACACCCTGTATACCCTAAATCTGGGGTCAGCAGTACAGGAAAGTATAATAAGTCTGGTCCCCCATTCATTTGCATGTTGTCTGGCTGCTTCTGCCCCACAAAGGTGGAGGTGTGTAGTGCATACAGCAACAGGCACTTAAGTGGCCTGCAAAGATCACAACATTCACTATCTGCCTGCCCTTTGCTACTGAATGACCTACTGAATGTAATGAATGACCATTACATGCTGCTGCCTCCTCAGCAGGTGGAAAATATGGGCTTGAGACCAAAGGGTGGAGTGAGAGTGACCTTCCTTGCCGTCAAGGTCAGTGTCATACTTTGAGAAATCAGTGTGCTTCCTGTCCTTCCTACTCTAGGTTCTAAGGGGCAGATGCAGAGGCTTTTGCTGGGGTGAGTCCTCAGAGGAACAAAGTGCCATTTGGTGGAGGAAGGGGTTAGGGTCACTTCACCCATGGGGAGGTGTTGGCAGCACTGGAGTTCTTCAAACTCCATAGAATTGGGTAATAAGACAGCATCATGGGCGGGCCGAGTGGCGCGATGGTTGGGGGCTGGCTTGGGACCCCGGAAGGCCGCGGTTCGGATCCCACATATGAGGGCGAGTGACACTGCCCTCNAATCTAATGGATGTGTAAGACTATTTCTTATACTTTTCATTTGCATACTTTTGATTATTGGAGAGATTTTCAATCATTTCAATAGTGTCATGAACTCCTCACATCCTTTGTCCTGTATCTCAGGAGAATCTGTCAGGTTCTCATTTATTTGTAGGAGCTCTTTATATATTCTAGATACTAGTCCTTTGTCATAAGGGGTTTAAACAACGTTGAGAAGTAGAGATGTTTGTGCTGTGAAGACTTACTTGTTGCTGAAGGAGGTGAGTCAGGCGGGAGGGGTCACAGAACAGTCATTGCTGGGGTGGAATATGCTGGGTGAACTCAGAAAAAAATTCATTATTTTGATCCATATGTTTTTTTTTTAATCCAGTTATCAGGATAACACTGAGATGGACTTATTGCTCGTTAAGAGTAGTCCTTAAATTCTGTTTCCATAGGTATTTATCAAAACCCCTGGTTTTATTTACTTCATGATGTGGAAGAATAATGATCACCAAAAATTCTGTGCATCATAAAGCAAAATTTGTAAATAATTAATTTTACACTATAGATATGTAAACTGAATAGCATTACAGAGTGGAAAATTTCACAAAGAAACAATCACATATATCGTTTTGTCTGTTTAAAAGATGGTGACTTTCGACAAGGA